GCCTGACCTTCCCTGCACCTGTTCACGCGTACGGCTATTCCGCTACCGTGCGAAAGTGACTTCCCTTCGTGCCGTCGCGCGAGATCCGATCACCTCTAGCCTAGGTGTTGGCGATCTGATATCACGTTACCCGTCTCCACTATTCGGGCGATATGACAGACGCAGTGTTGCTCAACGAACTATGCAGTATCTGGTATGTCTGACTAGTTACCCCTCCGTAGCACTTGTTACATCCCAAAAGTTCGATGTTCGCTAGTAATCGTCCTAAGAGTTGTGCCGCGTTCCTGTGACACTAGCTAGCGCAACGAAGCCGCGTCGGCATGCATGAGAGAGAAAGCTGACGTTTAATTAGCCATAGCAATAAATCCAAGTACAAATGTCCTGGGTGTGGCGCACGCACATGCTCGCTGCCATGCTACAAGCGTCATCAACAGAACGCACAATGCTCAGGGAAGCGCGACCCAACAAAGTTCATCAAGAAGTCTGATCTGGTGACCCCCAAGGGCATTGATCACGACTATAATTTTCTTTCTAGCATAGAGCGGAACCTCGAAAAAGCTGAGAGGGTCGCTGGAACCACCGCTGAGAGCACTCCTCAAGATGGTCTGTCCAACAGGGAGCGAATGGGTGTTCAGTATGGCAAGCTTGAGAATGCTGCTGGCGTCAAGATCATGCGGGCGCCCAAAGGCATGAGCAGACAAAAAGAGAACAAGTCGCACATGTCTGCTACAAAGTAAGCCCCCCACTATCAACGCGTACACGTAACACTGCTGATCTTTGTGTCCAGAAAGGCTACACGGAACATAGTATGGACAGTCGAATGGTTTGACGAGACCAAGAGACGCGTGCTCACCGAGACATCCTCTACACAATCGATCCAAGATGCACAACCTTTCGTACAACAAGGCAGTGGTGCTAAAAGCAAGAAGAGAAAGCTGAACAACGAGGCTCCTGCCAGCCAAAGTTTTCAATCAGACCCTCCACACCTACCTCAAAATGACGTTGCGCCTACTGCACCGGACCAAGACCAGCCAATCGAGCAGCATGAAGTCAATTCTGAGCTTCAGGTCAACAATGCGGGGCCAGAGGGAGTCACCCCCGGACGAGGAACCCCTGCTACAGAAGAAAAACAACAACCCACCAAAAGACAAGCAGACTTGGCCGAGACGCGTCCTGGAGATACTCGCACTGATGGGCAGTCCATGGGCAGCGGGCAACATAGGGTTTTTCTGCTAAAGCCCCGCACAAGCACGAACCGCCACGTCCTCATCCCTCTAGACCCTTCGCAATCGCTGGGTGAAAGCCTGCACGGCCGTACTATACTCGAGTTTCCGACTATCCACGTATTCCCTGCTGAGATGGAGAAGCTGCCCGAAGACTACATGTTGGAGGAAGAATACGCGAAGCTAGAGGGAGAGCAACAGAGAGAGTTTGATGAGATGATGCAGGAGCTCGATCCGGAGATCTTGAAACGGTTGAAAGAAGGTGAGGGGCGCATGCCAGGGGACAGTAGCGGGGGAGGAGGGGACGAGGAAGTTGATAGTAAGAGGATACTAGACGTGCTCAAGCAGGATCTCGGCGGACGGTTGTAGAATGAGGGCCGACAAGCGCAGCTTACTCCGCCGTTAATACTGAAAAGAAATCCAGGCATTGCATCACATACAAAGACGCCATATAGACAGGCATCGGAGGATTTCCTTTTGGTGCCGAAGCGCTGATGGCGCTTTTGCTACCATGCCATCACAGTCACATTCAACGTCTCCCTTTTCAAGCACTACTATCGACCCATTTCCATTGATCCAATACTCTTTCCAGCCACTAGAGACCAGGGTCTTGTACCCCCTCCTACCCCAATCGGAACGGTACCCTGTCTAGACATCCGGTACCCTGCCCATATGCTTGCTTTCCCTGAAGTCGTCATGCCTTGGACCCCAGTCGTGTTTGCTTTTACCACGCGCCCATGCGGGCAATGCGGGCAGACGCCATACGCCACCCGTCACGGCCGTTGACAGTGCACCAGCGTTTCACGTCGCATTGACAGCCTTGCTTTTCTTTTGCTGCTTTCGACTGTCTGCTTGGTCGGCTGTCATGCCCTCGAATACTAACCACGTGTACGCCCAGACCGCTTTCAATCACCGCGCTAGTACCCTCACAGCGGCAACCCGTCGCCCCACTCCCTAGGCATCGTAGTCGTCGCAACCTCACCTGGGCGCTATCAACGTCAACGTCACGATAACCAAGATGAGATGCCAACTCCCGGGAGCATCCCCAAGCTGATTACCGATACCGACCCCGATAACGCGCTCATCACCAGGTTCCCCAGTCCAAACTGACACAGACGCCGCCCTCGCCCCAATCACCCCATCTCGAAAACATTATCGAACATCCGCAAGGTCCCGTACCTCCGCGGGTAGCTCGAATCACGAATAAAGTTCAACCACACTCGCCAAACCATTCCCATCCGACGTGTCAACTCCGCGAAAATATGGGGAAAACAGGGTCCCCCAAACCAAGAACGTCCACCTCGTCATCCCACGCAAAAAACCTTAGAAAGGGAATTAGGCAGACTAGGATCGAGGATCATGCCTCGCTAAACAACGAGGCGCAACACGGCATCTTATTTTTCACAGATCTTAGCGCGATTTCACATATAGCGTTTTCATGTGGGGTCGCTCTTTGTTGCTTGCAGGGCCGCGGCGGCGCTCCGCTGCAACTTCATGACTGAGGTCGCAGGTCGGGTTTGCGTACCGGTGCCACTGGGTCCAATGAGGCCGGCGGAGATGAGGGTGCGTAGGATTTTTTGAGTTTTCCAAGACTCGCTGTTGGATGCGGGATGCCGACATCTCGCCCCGTGTGAGGAGAGTCAGTTTTCTATGGCGTTATTTGCCTCGTGGGGCGAAGACGTACGATACCCCCGAGATTTGCTGTCGCTTTGATGGCTGCGATAGTCGTTTGTAGACGGATGGATGGATGGTGGGGCTGAAAGGTGAGAAGGAAGGATCGGTTTGTGCGCCGGAGATTGATGCTCCTCCCTTCTACGCTTCATTGCGCAATCGTCCGTGTTGCTAATTTGGGAATTACTGATCATGTAGCCCATGGTGATGGTGCCTCTTGGTGTACATTGAAAGTCGATTTCTCACAACCTTGGATATCGCTCAACGCTCCTCAACACAACTGTCTTCAGTCTCAGATTCCAATAACATCTGAAGCACGCTATCCAGCCCCAGAGCCAGCCCCTCGGGTGTCAGCCGCAGATACAGGGATCAAACGGTTTTTGTCATGATGGTATGCATGGAATATGTGAGCATCATGGTTCATGTAAGCTGCAACTGTGCCGTATCAAGAATTGGAAATCCCTTTGTATGATCCCTAGTCTGGCCCCAAAGATTGGGTATCTAGACCGGTGCTGTCATTAGAGCGAACGGGATATTTGGTATACATCCTGGTCTCTGGTAAGAATTTGAGATGTAAGTATACATATAGTAACCATAGAGTTATCTGGGGTTGTGATGTGCGCGGGTACAGCGGGTCATGAAACACAGCTTCTCATGCTATCGACCTGGGGAGAGAGAAACCGTTGTCCAATGTTTCTTAACGAGTAGATCCTAAACTGTGCATTGAGTGTCAGCCATGTGATTATCCTGTTCTGTGCTGTGTCTGGAGACGCGTTGTTCAGTAGACGTCCTGTAAAACTCAATGGACGCTCATGCGTCGACAGTACTCCGGAGTAGAGTCCGTCAGTGATGTTCAATTCGTTATCCAGCTCTGAAGTCAACCCGCGACGGAACTTCGGTCCTCGTCATCCGCTTCAGAAGGCTCATACCACTAAATGTGAAACTCCTACTTCTGCAACTCCAACAGTCCCTTACTCTGCAAGTACTCCACAATCTCCCTCACGCTATCCTCCACGCTCTTCTGGTCACTCCTGATGTGGATCTCGGCGTTCTCAGGCGCCTCATACGGCGCGCTGATGCCGGTGAACTCTGGGATCTTGCCCTCCCTCGCCTTCTTGTACAGGCCCTTGGGGTCGCGCGCCTCGGCGACTTCAAGCGGGAGGTCGACGAAGACCTCGACGAAGGCGAGTGGGGAGTCTTCGCCGGTGGTCACGGCGTGGAGGTCGCGCGCTTGCTTGCGGTCGGCTTTGTAGGGTGAGATGAAGGAGGTGATGGCGATTGTGGAGGAGTCGGCGAAGAGCTTTGCGACCTGTGGTAGAAATGATGTTAGCTAGTGCATTTTTTTGAGGATATAGATTGCGCATAGTCACGTACCTCAGCAATCCGGCGAATGTTCTCATTTCGGTCCTTCTCTGTGAATCCAAGGTCCTTGTTCAACCCAAATCGTACATTGTCGCCATCGAGACGGTATGCCGCGAATCCCAGGTGCAGCAGATGCTGCTCAAGCGCCGTCGCAATTGTCGACTTGCCGGATGCGGAAAGACCGGTGAACCAGATAGTGAAGCCTTTTTGCTTGCGGAACTTGTTGCGCTCGTCGCGCGAGAGAGACGGGTGCCATGTAATGTTGCTGTCCAAGAATTAGTTTGTGTGTTCAGAGTTGCGCGCAGTTGGCGGGGTAGTCATGGTGGGGCTCACGTTGCCATTTTGTATGTCGAGACTTGAGATTTTGGTTTTGATGGGGGGTATGAAGAGGTTGAATAAGGGAAGTGGAAGTTTGCTGCAGATTTAAGATGTTTTTAAAGTGTCGATTGACGGGTGGATGGCTGATTGGTATCCTCAACACGATATTTGGGTCCTCAGCAAACATCGAATTCTTTTAGCGTAGATGACGTGCGAAGCTTGACCGACGCTGCAGGTGGAGCGGGTAAGGCTGAGAGTGGGTAAGATGCCTCATGTAGGAAACAGCAGTTCCTGCCAAAGTATAGCGCGCGAGACATGCTCCGATTGTGCCCGTGTCGCGTACATCGATTCCAAAGTGCTTCCAGAATAAATCTTGCATACAGTAGCCGGCTACACGGCAAATTTTTAGATCCAGCTAGATGTCCATCAAAATCCATTTCCACCAAAGCTCGCAGCCCTCGCTCTATGCCTCCTCTCTCTTTCTCTATTCTCATCCCCAAAACCGTGTCCAGTCTGCACCTCCCCTCTACTCCCACTCTTCTTCAAGCCCCCAGTACCTGCAGGTAGAACAGGATCAAAAGGCTTCCTCCTCCTAACAAGCTGGTATCCCCTATCCAATTCAACTTCAATCGCACATCTAATCTTGAGTGCCGTCACTGCTGGCCATACACTCCTTTCTCCCTTCAGTATCCAGTAGTCGATCGCCTCTTTCGTAGGGTTCTCGAGCAGCTTGAAGAAGTCGCTGGGTGTGAGTTCAGGTACCAGCGTGAGACTTGGGCCTGGGATGTTTTCGTCTAGGAGGAAACGACGGATGGAAGGGGGGAGTAGACCCAGTTCATCCATTTGTTGTAATCTGTGCTGTATCTCTAGGACTACGAGACGCAGTACAGGCATGCTGAGGCGCCAACGTCCGTCTTGTTTGGGATTCGGATGGTGTGAGTCTGAGCGTAGGAAAGGTGCGAGGTATGGTCGGGCTTGCGAGACGATGAAGTGGTTTACGTTGAAGAGTTCGCCGATGCGATGGAGCGGGGATTCGCGGTCTCGGTACGAAGCGTGTGTGTAAGGACGGAAGGTGGTTTTCGAAGCTGGAGACCAAGGCACGATGTTGCCTTCCTCGTCTTTGCACATCATTGTTACGGAATGGTATAGGGTCGAGGAGGCCGTGGCGTTGGAGGCAAGTGCTGCAGACCAGATGAGCTGGGAATGTTAGCAGCTGCTTCGGGTTGGAGAAGGAGCGGACTACGTACAACGTTGGGAGCAGTAAGGTAGTTCAGAAGGTTCGGTATGCCTCCACCACTAGTAGTTGTGACGGTGATATTCAACACCCTCTTTGTTCTGGTGTATGCTTCTTCGAACGTCAGATCACCCACGTTCGCCCTCAGGACATCTTCCAGGACACCGACATCCAAGAAATGCCCTTCTTTCCACCATCTTTTAGCACGACGTATGAGCGTCCCTATCCATGCAGTTCCCCCAGCGCCTTTCCTATAAGGACGATTGGTGAATGCTGTCAAGTCGATCGTGTTGCCTGTGAGGAACTCTAGTAGCTCATCTTCGGTATGCACGCCCACCAGCGCGGCTATCAGAGCACCTGTGGCAGTCCCGGCTATGATTCGTGGTAGCAATCCACGTAAATGGAGCGCCTTCACAACACCAAGATGACACATGCCAAAGACCTGTCCGCCCTGCAGCACCAAGACAGATCTGCCAAACGCCTGCCTTGTGTCATGGAGAACATCCAGCTTCGCCTGGTTTGTTAAGCCATTATCCGAGTTTCTCGATGTAGGGTATTGGGTGAGGTTCTCGATGGCGTACGCGACTTGGGTGACATAGTCTTCGATCAGCAGCTTCGTGCCTGCGTATGCGCGATTGTACAGGTTCGACGCGGTTATATTGCCGAGGTTGCGGACGAGACCGCTGCGAAGGAGGTTTATGAGGCCGAGAATGTCGTTATCCTCCTGAGCTTCGTAAATGGCGGAGAGGCGCTGATGGATGAGGCGATGGTCGTAGTCCTTGCTTATGGCAGTCTGTCGCCTGTGAGTCTGTTAGCAGCTGTCCATTTGGATGGGCCTATCCAGGATAGGGCGGAAGGACTGCTTACCACATGTCGTAGTCGAGCACCTCGTCCAGCTTATACGCAGCAGCCTCCCACTCCTCGAACAGGCGCGCATCGCTCACAGCTTCGAGCAGCAGATCCCGCTGGCTCTTCTGCACCCACCACGCGTATAATTTCTTCAACATATCAGCATTCCATCCGAAGACACATCAATTGACCCAGAACGGTCTTTGAAACAGCAGAGGGAAGCTGACGCACTCGTTGCCAAAAGAAAGCCACGTCGAAGAAGCACAGCAGAAAGCTCCAGAGCGCGCCGGAAACGACGCTGAGGGCTTCGTTCATGGCGTTGAGCTATTTGGGATAGTGATCGGCTGACAGCGCCGCGGTGGCGGAAGTCGCATGTTCATTCGTCGCGTTGGCGGAGAGGTGGTGCTATCGAGCAAGTGGGAACGCTTGTCGGACCTGATGCGCGCTTTCACATGCAAGTCAGCTGGAGACGTCAGGGTGCCCAGGTGTGGCTGAAGCTACCCGCAGCACTAGCCACGTGGCGTTAGGTCAATCGGGGCAATTCATCGGGCCAATACCAATGCGGGGTTCTGCATAAAGGCCTCGGGAGAGCATGAAAGCTTGAGCTGACATTGCATCTTCTCTGTACTTATCCAAAACGTTTCCAACATGCCTGGCTCATCTCTTTGGCTGCTTCCACCAGCGAACCATACTTTGAGCACAGTCTTGCCCTGTCTCATTGACAAAACATCGAAGCAGTTCGGCTCGCCTCACCGCTTCATTCCCCATATCACTCTGAGTTCAGAGATAACAGCATCTAAGCATGAGCCAGATCCTCAGGCCTGGCTCGACTCACTCGATCTGCCGCCTATCAAGGATGTGATTGTAAAGTTCGAACGTCTGGGCAGCGAAGACGTCTTCTTTCGGAAACTGTACATCAAGTGCGAGAAGCTTGATGGGATCAAGCAACTAGCAAAGCAGTCCCGGAAGCAAGTCGATGGGTTTGAAGAGGAAAGCAAGGCGAAAGCTTGGGCCGAGGACGAGTACAATCCACATCTGAGCTTGATGTAGTAAGTACAGCTGCTGGCATCTACGTATGCACCAGGATTAATTATTGTAGTCACGACATTCCTCAAATCGACGACACAGGTCTGGCATCAGTGGATTTGCTTGGTGTTAATCTTGACGGGACAGGAGACCTCGGAGGTTGGACTGGCGGCAGGGTGGTGATAGTACCTACCGACAAGTCGATTGATCAGTGGCAACCAATAGGTGAAAGGGTGTTCTGATGTAGTGACATACAAGTCACAACATCATAGCCAGTGGAATGTGTTTTGCACATGCCTCACGAGTAGATTGGGTCGAAGAAAGGAAGGCCATCCATGTATCTAAGTGTGTCTGGTGTCACCACCACAATCAACACTCCAGTAAGAATTCATTCCCATTGAAGATTCAGGTATCATGAATAAGTGAGACGTGTGTGGAGGGTGTAGTGATTAATTCATTACTAGGCTAATTATACAATGTCATAGGAAATAGTCCTTGGTATCTCGCATGCAGTCGTGATGATCGCGCGTGGTGCAGAGTGCAGCAGAATGCATCTATTTCATGAAGCCGGCCTTGCCGTCACCATCGGCATCAACCTCTGTGGGAAATGGTCAGATGAAAGGTCGAAGAGAGAGGAGTACTGGCAAAACTTACTGGGGTTGAGCTTGTCCATGAGAGAAGGCTTCTTGTGACCTATTTAGTGTTGGTTTGATGTTCTTCAAGGAGTTTCTTCGCTTCCTCTTCGGAGGCTTGGGAGTGGGGAACGGCTCTGGACTTGTCTTCGGTCAGGGCCTTAGGCAAGCTACCATCCTCGTTGGGACGATGCTCCATATTGCCCTGATCGGTACCGCCGACAACATGTCCACTGGGGTCTTTCGTACCTGTAGCGCCCTCGTTGTCTGCGAAACGTTAGCATGAGGTCGTGGAATTGTGTTAGAGTGCTAGACTTACGGCTGCGAGCGGGGTCGTGGAGGTCGTGACTGTCGACCTTGCCGTCGTGGTTGCGGTCAGCACCGTGGCCGACAACACCTCCCTGGGTAGAGGAGCCGGTCAGGTTGCCCTGGCCAGCCATGCCGCGGTCAGTGTGGGCGGTGTTGGAGTGGCTACCAGTCAGGTCCTTGGCGGAGACCTTGCCGTCGTTGTTGCGGTCGAGGGGGTTGCTGGTACCGGAGTGGTGGTTGGGGGCAGCGTTGTAGTCACCGTGGCTGGCGTGCTCGTGGCTGTGGGTGCCACCAGTCTTGTGGGTAAGACCAGCGGCGGATCCAATGCCACCGGCGCCGCCGATGTTCTTGGGGACGCCCTCGAACTCGTCGTAGCGCTCCTCACGGCCAGTAAGAGCTCCGCCCTTGGCCTTGAACTGCTCCATGGTCATGGCTGGGAGAGCAGTAGTCTCATGGTGGGTAGCCTTGTTATGGTGAACCTCATGGATGGGGACGGTGGTGTGGACGACGTTGGGCTGGATGGTCTCCTTCTGAACAACGGGCTGGATGGTCTCGTGGATGTGCTAGATGACGTCAGTCTTGGTGGGGGTTGTTGTTTGTTTGGAAACTTACGTGGTGGACGTGCTCTCCGCCGACGGTGGGGGCAACGCTCTGGCTGTGGGTGGTGTCCTCGACGCGGCGCTCGTCAGCGAAGCGAGCCTGGTCGTCGACTAGAGCCCTCTTAGTGGCATCGGCATCGCGGTGGTCGAACTCGCGGTGCTGAACAGCTCCGAGCTTAGCAGAGTGCTGCTCTGGCAGAACCTCGCGGTCCTGGACGGGCTGGACAGTGCGGTGGTAGTGGTCCTGGTGGACCTCCTTGTCAATGGCGGTGTTGACCTCCTCGTGTACGTGAGGCTTGATGACCTCGTGCTGGACAGCGGGAGCAACTGCCTCGTGGACAGTGGTGTCATGGTGACCGGAGCGGCCCATGAAGTCGGTGATAGCTGCCTTCGCCTTGTCCATTTTGATAGTTGTGTGGTTGTTGTTGGTGATTGGGGTGGTTTGGTGGTAGTGGATTGGTTATTGGTGAGTGTGGAAGAGTTGTTGTGTGTGGTGTGATGATGATGCTCCCAAGGCGCTGCAGTGCCTTCTTATACAATGAGGGCGCTAGTGGGACAGATGCACGACGACGTAATGGGGGGTTCAGTTCCAGGTAAAGTCGGCAGTCGCAGGCCGAATTCCTTGTTCCCAAGGGTAAGAGCCATCATCATGGGGCAGCAACAGTGGGTTGAGGCTATACGGGCCTCGATCGATGCCCCCAGCAGCCTCGATTGGTTGGCCCACAGGGCGCCACAGCGACGTGATATGCGTCAGGGCCCTTAGTTCACTGGTGCTAGACTACATGGATAGCGCTTAAGACGGCGTTGGTACGCTTGACAATGGAGATGGCCACTATGATGCACCCAGTGGTGTCGTTCCACGCCTACCGCAGCCTAGCCGCTATGATGTAGTCATGCTGCGTGTCCAAACAGGAATTGGGCTTCACGAAGGATTCAAAGTGTCGCAACACTCTCTGGATGAGGTGCTCAAAGGGTACAAGTGCTATGACAATTCGGGGAGGAAGAGCCCGGCATCTCCAGTTGGTGTCAAAGAGATCGGCGCTAGGGTCGTGCTCCTGCCATTCGGTGACAGCAGGCCCGTGCTGCTTCCCGGTGGAACTTCACAACACCTCGTAGGAAATCTCAAAAGTTGATTTCTTCATTGCAAATTCCATTGACCCCTCTCACAGCCCGCCTGCATCTGCGTGTGTCTCGGGTATACCGAAGGCCTGGCTGCATCTAGGTGCAGGCTAACACGATCGCCCGTCGTTTGGTACGCTAAGCTGATCATCAGTGGAGCCGCCCGCGACCAGACTCCCCCTCCCTGTCGTCATGCCGCCTGGATCTCCGCTGTGACATACCAAAGTGGCAATGGATGCTGTTTGCTTTTGTGTGATTTCGTACCACCGGTACCCCGACTCATTAGCCAGACACCGCCAAACTCAAGTACCGCTGGCTACGTCATGCTGAGTCGCCACGCATGCCGTTGCCGTGGGCCAAATGCGACAAGCTGTGCGGGCAGCTCGAGCAGTCTCAATCGAGATGAGAAAGCTTCACGTAGGGACAAGTCTGGACCGCTCCGGGCAGGCCGCCAACATGCGGGAACACGACTGCGGCCTGTGCTACTCAAGCCACCAGCTCCATCCGTCGTGACACGGCATCACTGAAGCTATACTTTTTCGCAAACCGTTGCGACAGAATGTCTGGAAGCTCCAAATATACACCCTAGCTAGCTGACATGCACACTCTCCAGACTTCGGCTTGCTCCTGCCGGAAGGTTTCAATGGACAGCTGTGCGCAAGTGCTGTGAGGTCATCCACCCTAACAATGAGTACCGTGCCTCGTGAAAACAGACAATAGATCGGCATCTCACATAGCTCCCACATCCACTTGTCCATTTCTGCTCACAAACCCATCGACACGATGGAAAAGATCGAAGAGAAGCTCAAGTCCGTTCTCCACCGGAGGAAGAAGTCGACGCCCACTCAGTCCCCTCGAGCGTCGTACCAGCATCCTGATCAGACTAGCCCGCGCACTGAGCAGCACCCAGCATCACCTCTTAGCAGTCGGCAGCAAAAGCCCACGGCCCCCAATGATGTCTCTCACCCGGAGACTCGAGGTCAACCACGCGACTCTGCCTATCACGATGGCCGAGCGAGCCATGCAGTAGCAACTCCTAGCACGGGCTCCAATGGATCCAATGGCTCTATGGCGAACGATTACAGATCGTACCTTCCTGCGCTTGTTTCCGAAGAGCATTCAAATGTCGAGCCCAGCGTTCCAGATAGGCATCTGCGCTATAGGCCATCGACAGATGGCGAGCGATCAAAGGCTCTTCCGGCCCTACCCAGTATGTTTGAGAGCGCAATTACAATATTGGCGACTCAGTGCTAACATAACATCAGACACATTACACCATCCCCATGGCGAAGTCAGACGATCAATCGACGTAGACGGTCCAGGCCGCACCATACGCGCAGTGCCAACCGAAGCTCCCGCCGACAAGTATGCAGTGGGTAGTCACGATATCAACAACGGCGGCTTGGATGATGACGTTCGATCGCGCGAGCAGCGCTCTTCCTCCGACAAACATGGATTGAGCAAGAGTGGCCA